TAATAATAACAAGGAAACAAACTGTTGAAAAATTAAGGGAAATTTATGCCTCCTTTGGAAAAGCATCTGATGACTGAGCTGTCACTCAGAGGCCCTGATATCAGACCTGCTGTGTTGTGGACGTCACACCCACAAGGGGAGGACTGTGAATGTGTCACTCTGAGAGCCTGCATTCCATCACTCAGAGAAGAACTCTAGGGAAGTCCACCCCATCCTCCAACAGGCGCATGACCCTGCAGCAGTTTGTAAAAACGTAGCCATAAAACACAGACAGAACTTCATTAGACTCGTTCCAGTATCATCTTTGCAACTTAAGAAACAAATAATATCTGAATTTTCTCACGAATTCGAGGATCTCCTCTTTAGAAGTAGTAGGGTTTTCTCTTCATACAGGCAATCATTAAATGACAATAGACAAGAAAGCCGTGTTCCTTTTTAGTGCCATCCTACAAGAACAATAGACTCTCAGCAACCCAAGTCTCATTTTTCCTTCCAAAACACACTTTGCTCCGCGTCTCCTATCTCACTGGCCTGTGGATTAAGCCCTCTGGAAAATAACAAATGAAAATACTCCTCAACAAGGCAAGCAACTGCCTATCAGAAATGTTTCCTAAGGAATCCAATCCCTTCCAGCCAATTATTCATCCCTCCCATTGCTTCAGTGGACACCTTTGACACTCAAACAAAATGACCCAACTCAAAACACCCAAGGTCAGCTAGATGATCACGATGAGAATGAGTAGGGCCTCTCCCAGCAACTTCCCGGCTTGCTGGCTTCCCAGCATCAGGAGCTGTCACAAGTTTGAATAATTTCATCACATCCAGAGGGAGGCCCAGCTACATAATTTGCAGGGCTTGGTGCAAGGGAAAATTTGGAACCCCTTGTTCCAAATGTATTAAGAATTTCAAGACAGCCACAACAGAGCATTAAACTAAGCACAGGTGCTTCCTAAGTGTTGGACCCTGTGTGACTGCATTTGCTCTATCCCACTGACACCGGCCCTGTCCCCGGGGTCAGTCCCAACTTTTGCCTTCACCTGAACCCTTGCTCTATCATCATGGAAGGCAGGGGGAGTCTTTGCTGTCTAAAGCTTTTCTGTCTAAAGCTCCTAAAGTAGTTAGGAGAATTAAATGAAATACGACATTGAACATGTCTGTAACAGCACCTGGCTTACAGCAGGCACTCAACAAATGTTAGCTAGTATTATTATTGTTGTTGTTATTATTATTATTTTCATTATGCCAAGGTCCCTCGACAGCTCCAAAGCTACCCATAGGCAAGAATGATGGGTGGGAAGAAAACACAGCCCATTTCGATAGAGACCATCTATTAGCTACTGCTGTTCAGAAGTCATTTCATTAGCTCTGTGCGAGAGAGTGCTATAAATTAGGCATTCTTAGCCTTCTCTTTATACCATGGACCCATTTTACGCAGTCTGCTGAGGCTTATAGACCCCTTCTCAAAAAAATGCTTTTAAAATGACAAAGTAAAATAATAAGGTTAGAAAGGAAGTTTATCTTGAAATACAATTATCAAAATACTTTAAAAATAAATGTGTGATATCATAATAACATGGGCTTCTTTATTAGTACATTAACCAAGAATATCTAGTGCAGGTCCAATAACTTCTGTAATATCAAAGAAGTGATGAATAGTGATATTTTGAGACGTCTGTAACGAGTATAACATGATATGAAAGTATCTGCAAGTTCTCTTGGTGCCAATCAGTTACAGCTATTGCTACTGGGGAGTTTTGCTTACATTCATATTGAAATTGGATTGAATTCACACTGAATGTTGAATTTTACTTAGATTACTGAAAATAAACATGTAATTTTTTTCCCACATCCAAGTTCACAAACCCTCTGACTTCTCCCCATGGACACTAAGACATCTTTGGATCCCAGGTTAGGAACCCTTGCCGGTTTACAGCAAGGACTGCTTGTTCAATTCAAATAGCCTCTTGAGACCACTTCCACATGGCCAGAAGCCTCAGCTGAACAATTTACAGGAGGCAGACCCTATAGTGCCTTGGCAAATAAGTAGGAATTTTTTTTTTTTTTTTCGGTACGCGGGCCTCCCACTGTTGTGGCCTCTCCCATTGCGGAGCACAGGTTTCGGACGTGCAGGCTCAGCGGCCATGGCTCACAGGCCCAGCCGCTCCGCGGCATGTGGGATCTTCCCGGACCGGGGCACGAACCTGTGTCCCCTACATCGGCAGGCGGACTCTCAACCACTGCGCCACCAGGGAAGCCCAGGAATTTTTTTAAAGCCTCTAGAATACCCAGAGTAAGTAATGCCTTAGCTGCAGTGGCCAGTAGGTATCTGGAGGCACTCAAGAATTTAAGGATGGGCTTCCGTTGTGGCACAGTGGTTGAGAGTCTGCCTGCTGATGCAGGGGACACGGCTTCGTGCCCCGGTCTGGGAAGATCCCACATGCCGCAGAGCGGCTGGGCCTGTGAGCCATGGCCGCTGAGCCTGCGCGTCCGGAGCCTGTGCTCCGCAACAGGAGAGGCCACAGCAGTGAGAGGCCCGCGTACCGCAAAAAAAAAAAAAAAAAAAAAAAAAAAAGAATTTAAGGGTTGAGCAACATATATAAAGTTGCGGTTAACCATGTGAACTGCTGGGAGGGAGATCAGTTTCTCCTGGAGGCCCCTACATGCCAGGCATCAAGACAGGATAAAAACGTGCTATGTACCTACTCCAGGTCTTCCTTGGAACTGCCATGGGTGGTGGTTTGCAGCCAGTTCAACCCAAGGCTCCATTTGGAGTTCTCGGCTTCACATGGCTCATCCCATCTCCCTGCTGCCCACCTTCCCCACTGAAAACCCCATTGCAGTTCTTTCCCAAGGTCACAGTGCAGAACCAACATCGATCACTTTGAAAAACAAAATTCCAGAATTATTATCAGCCACTCCTACTCAATAGCGCCTCACTGAAAACACCCATGTTGAGCACTGACCCTCCAATTCCGTTCCACAAATTACTAATTGTTTCCTCACAAGCATTTGTCCAGGTGCTTTCAGAATCTTTGTCTAATTTAATCCTTACAACAGCCTGTGCAGATATTATTAACCCTATTTTCCAGATGAGGAATATATATTCTTGAGCTTACATAATTCACCCAAAGTCACTCAGCTACTCAGTGGCAGAGTCGAAGGTGAACCCAGGTATCCTGACTCTAACCTCCATGTTCTTTGTACCACATTCCAGCTGCTTCCAGGCAACAAAAACTCATAGCCCCCTGCTCCTTCAGATACATAAGCAGCCAAAGTCTACTCTTCACCAACGCTCCTCAGTCCACAGCCTCTGGCCAATGGAGTTAAGACAAGTGAAAGGTAAGTTAGGTGCTCTCTGTTTTTCTCAGTGGACGTAATTGAGACAGAGGCTGAATTTGGGCCAAATCTAAAGTTCTTTGCAGGGGCTTCCCTGGTGGTGCAGTGGTTGAGAATCCACCTGCCAATGAAGGGGACACGGGTTCGATCCCTGGTCCGGGGAGATCCCACATGCCGCGGAGCAACTAAGCCCATGCACCACAACTACTGAGCCCGTGTGCCACAACTACTGAGCCTGTGCTCTAGAGCTCATGCTCCACAACTACTGAGCGCATGTGCCACAACTAGTGAAGCCAGTGCGCCCACAGCCCATGCTCCACAACGAGAGAAGCCACCGCCATGAGAAGCCCGTGCACTGCCACAAAGAGAAACTAGGGCTTTCTCTAGTTTCTTGCCGCAACTAGAGAAAGCCCGCATGCAGCAATGAAGACCCAACACAGCCAAAAATAAATAAATAAAATAAATAAATTTATTTTAAAAAATAATAAACTAAAGTCTGTTGCAAAGAAAACATCTTATCAGTAGTCACCCTGGAGACAAGGCTGAAATAATCTTCACCTTTCAGACCCCACTTACTTCATCCAATAGGATATATCATTAGCCCTACTGAGGGAATTTTTTAAAGGTTCCCAAGAGGGACTCCCCCCCAAAAAATCTCTATGAGACAGTCATATGCTCCAAGCTCCACTGTCATACACAAAAGTAGAAGACCTTCTTCATATTCCAAAAAAGACTCAATAGACTTTTGGAAGAAGTCTGCATCAGGCAAAGAAAGGGCTGGCAGGCAGACTAAAATTTCTCAGATCCACAATTGGACCCATAAAGATTTAGCCCCCGAGATTGTTTATGTGGTGTCTATAATATAGAGTGAGGGGGATGTGACAGAATAGGAAATTTTGAATTCAACACAATTACAACCACATCAAAGAAATTGTACATCTAGAGAAGGTCCTACGAAAGTAAAAATAGTTACTTTAATAGTGGGGTTCAAGAGGTGGTCTAATAGTCCAATAATCAAAATATTATAGGAAGCATTTTGGCTCCTTTTGATTTGGGGCTTGGTTTCCATCAGAAAGCAGGTTTGGAATGCACCTCTGCTGGCCACATTTTAAATAAATAGGCAGATACCCTTAATAACAACGAAGATGCTCCTGAGAAAGGACAGGAAGGAGGCTCTAAGGGCCGGGGTGTGGGGGAAGATTGGAAGAGAAGAGATAATGTGAATCCAATGAACCAGAACAAGGGGCTCAGCCCCATAAAACAAACCGAAGACAGAGTGTGCTTAGGTGCTAGTGAAATCCATTTTCAAAGAAGTGTTTTACAAGGTATCTCTTTTAAAACAAGGCCAATTAAAACCCTGGTAGCCTCTTTAAATGGGCCATCCTGCTCGACCCTCTTGCAAGCTTTGTTTGCTCCAGATTCGCGCCAAGGGCCTCTGGGAAGACCAGGCTCTCCAGGTGGGCTGCCCAGTGGCTTGGCCAGCCACGTTCCCCTTCTGATGACCCCCCGGGTCTTCCTCTCGGAGAAGTGAGTCCATGTCCATCCAATCTACCCAATAATTCATGGACAGTCAGATGAACTGAGCAGCCTCCACGGGGTCCTGAGCATTCACTTTTCAGTCGGCTGCTTTCGTGTTTTACAGAAGACAGCATTGGAGTGCCTACCCGTGGACACCAGTGGCTCCCGGGGGTCACAAAGCAGTCAGCTGCATCCACTTCTACACTGGCACCAACTTCAGATAAATGAGGCAATTGATAAGATGGGATGTTGTCATGGGAACAGCTCAAGCACCCCTAGTAAAGGTATCTAGTCTTTAGTACCTCCACCAGGTACATCCCTTGGCCAAAATTCTGAAGACCCCAAGGAAGCCACTTAAGGGCTCCTACTGGTCTTCTTTCCTGTCTCATCCTTAGGATGGCATTCCCACCCCATTCTCAGCTTTCACAGACTCGAGCTAAACCTGCCGACCTCTAGGCATAGCTAGTTTCCCTGGGTCATCAGATTCCGAGGGCCGAAGTGGACCTTACGGATGATCGGGTTCAAACTCCTTTGTCCAAATGAGGAAACAAAAGCCCAGAGAGGTGGAGTGTACTGCTCTGGGAGCACAGCTTTGCTGGGACTACAAAACCAGGTCTCCTGACTGCCAGTCGCCTGACTGTCCTGCACCCTGCCTTGCCCACACCATGCTCCAATCACTCAAAAACGTGAGTCTGGAATTCTTCAAGGAAGATTCTTAAAGAAATATCTTTTTTTTCCCCTCTGAAGTCCAATAAGTTTTTTATCAAATAACTCTGAGGGATCCATGGAAATTTCTACTCCAGCACATCTCAGCTTCCCGACATCAAAACCACTCAGCTTGAACATATGTCCCATCCTAACATTAGCTGCTGTGGGAAGCCATCCTCCCCCACTGCACTCTTTGTTTCCTGCACAACTTAATAGTCTGGGCTTTAAAACCCTGTCCGATTTAAATAAACGTAATAGTCACATATGTCTAATAGGAGCACAATTGCAGCTCCTCAAAACGAATCCGATGATTTAAAATCCTATTATGAAAAATTAGATAAGAAAATATTAACTAAAGTTTATTATCTTCCCTGTCTCTTCAGTTATTCAGCAATAGATTTAAGAGAACTCCAGCACCATACGGCTGCCTCCCTGCCTCTGTCTTCAGGTGACAACCCCCAGTTCAGACAGAGCCGGTGTGGCTCACCCAGGCTGACAGCCCTGCAGGGTCAGTTACCCAGTAACAAAGCCAGGATTAGAAGCGTGGTCTCAAACACCAAGGCTACATGGAGCCCAATCCTCCCGACTGGCCCCTCCCACAACAGGAATGATTGTCACTTAAATTCTACCGGAGAGGGACCCTAACGAGAGAACTAGGCTGAAACGGCAGAAAAAGGTATCACCGAAAATCAGCTTCCGACTTTATATTTGATTCCTTAAAACCGTGGCGTTGCTTCTCAAGTGTGTTAGCAATTTCTACCACGGCGTTCTTGGTATCCACCCTACCCCATCTCCCAGAGGTCTTTGAAAATCCCATCTGTTCAAAAGGACTTAAGGAGGACTCCAACTGGAGGAAAGGGGGGAAGGACTGAATCACTTTTTAACGATTTGTATAAACCTCTATGGCTGGGTTTGATGCTTTAACATTAAACAGGGTTCCTACACTGAGTTTTCAAAAAGCAAAGAACACAGCCCAGTGCTAACTCTAATTTGGAGGCGGAGGTATAGGTGGGGATGAGGAAAAGTAAAACGTTACAAGATTCCAGAAAGCTAAATTCTACTTCCTGGAAATGAACTTTGACCCAAAGCACTCACTTTCCGGCCTAGGACCTGACTTGAGCTCCTTCCAGTTTCCAATTAGCTAACTGAGTGCAGTTGAGTAAATATTTTAACCTCTCACTTTCCGTTTTGTCTCAGCCTTTGAAGTTGTCAAAAAGGTAATGAAAGAAGATCTGCATAAAGTTGGTAAATTAATGGGAGCATAAAGGTGGAATCATGAGTGTGAATGTAGGGCTTCTCAGAGGTCCAGAGAGGCCCAAGGCATTTCCATTTGGGGGAGCTCACAGTATGTTTAAAAAATGGGGAAAAAAATCAAAAGGGGGTTGTTTGAATTTAACAAATAGATGCTTTTTAACACAAAAGAACAAATATAATTGAATTTGAGATCTTTCATACATGTGAGGCCTGGATCAAAGGCATCACCCTACCCACAACCACCCTAAAAAGGTCTCGACTAACGCCGCCATCTTGAACAGTAACACAAGAGAACTTACAGCACGGTTGTTCCCTCAAAGTTACTTTCTTCTGCAATGCCTCTGGGGCTTCCCTGGTGGCGCAGTGGTTGAGAGTCCCCCTGCCGATGCTAGGACACACGGGTTCATGCCCCGGTCCGGGAAGACCCCACATGCCGCGGAGCGGCTGGGCCCGTGAGCCATGGCCGCTGCGCCTGCGCCTCCGGAGGCTGTGCTCCGCAACGGGAGGGGCCACAACAGTGAGAGGCCCGCGTACCGCAAAATAAATAAATAAGTAAATAAATAAAATGCCTCTGTAAAATGGTTTGGAAACATGGAGGATTATCTCCATTATATTTATTATTTTTTCAAGTGTGATCACACACTTCCAAATGACCCTCATTCCATGTTCCCACTGTTTTTTAAAGTCTATCCATATAAGCCATGAGTGATGGTGTGGGAATAATGTGATCCTACCCGACTTCAGATTATACGATGGAATTGATGAGTTATTTCATAGTCTCAGAATTCTAGGTCTCAAAAAGAGGATAAATGCAGCCTTCTGCCAACTCCCAATGCAGCTATTAAAGTCATTCTTTTCCTTTTTAAGAATGAAAGATTATTCACTGTTATAGAGCTCCATAAAGTCATTCTTAAAATCTCTTAACAGCCTTTCCTGGTAGCATCTCTTACGCCTGAAGTTCTACCCAATAACACAACTTCATCTCTCCTGTTGGAAATCAACTCTTCCCTTGACCTCAGTGGAATTAGCGCATGGCCACTCTTGCTCCCCAACTCTGCTTTTATGCAGTGAAAGGCTCTATCTAAACATATCCTCGCAGCCATGCCTATAGAACCAACTCCTGAATTAGACCTTCCACTGAAAAGTTCTCAAGTCCAAACGCTCACTCACTTTATGCCTGTTACTAAGGTCAGTGCAGATAACCAGCAAGACACCTGTGAACTTAGACTCACAGAAGCTTATGCTTCATCATAACAAGACACATGCACCCACAATCCTAGGAGTATCCTAAATCTTGGCAAAGACGGATGCTGAGAATGTCAATTTCCTGACTCGGCGTTGTCATTTACCAGCAAGAAGATTAACTCCCCACTGTTTCCAGTTCTATCCACACGTAGGCCAGTTCTTCTCCATCGTGTCCAAACAAAATCAAAAGAACCCCTGTCTTAGAGGGCATTTGGGGCTGCTGACTCACATCTGGCTGTCTGGTCATAGTATCCCATCATGGAACAAACAAAGGGTTAGTTTGTCCCCACGTGAAATGACAAAACTCTTTGCCAAAATTGTTTTTGTTTTTTTGTTTTCTGGACAGAGATGTGCAGCTCTCCCCAGTACCCTTCCCTACCTGGGCTGCCTGACCATTTTTTCCAATGTGGGTGCATACACACACCCTTGCCTGTTTCCAGCCATTTTCAAACACCAGAATATACTGAAGATAATCTGCCTTTCTCTACAACTAATGTAATGAGTCAGAAAAACTACCAACAGAAGACATCTCTAGAAAGTGAGAACATGTGCCCTGAGCCCCAGTAGCTATTCAGCCAACCAGTTCTTCACTGAGAAGAACCTATCCCCAGCTTTCAGAATTTCAGAATTCAATCCAGGGAAATGGCTTTGTCACAGAAAGAGAGGGAAACCAGGCGGCTTTTAAATTCACAGTGATCAAAGACCAGACTCCATGCAGGGAGTTCACAGATAACAGCCAAAGTCACCCTGCTGCCCTCCAAAATAAAATCCTAAGACAACCCAGTGAGGAAAGCACAGCTGAGGTGAGCTTCGCTTCCTGCCAGCTGCCTCCGGGAATCTGGTTTATTTTCACCTGTCTGATTGAAGGCAGGTTTCTCTTTTCACTCAGGTGTTTGAATTCCAGATTCAAAAGAAGGTTTAAAAGTAAGGACTTACCTCATTTACCTAAAGATTCTGGGTGGGAAATCCAATAGCTGTAGGGGATGGAGGGAAGGTAGCAAGCAGCCCTCACGCCAGCTCCTACAGGGAACCAGGAGTGTTATCACGTCTGAGCTCTCATCAGAGTGAAGATCAATGCACATGACAATAATTTTAAATCATTTTGTAGGATGTTAAGCAATAAGCCACCAACCGGGAATTCCCTAAGTCACTTCCCCCTCTTCTGATTGGCTGCTGGGCCCTTTAAAAAAATAAAATAAAGGATTACAAACATTTGCTCATTTGCATTTGGCCAACTCACACGTTAGTGTTCAAACAAAACAGGTCTAACCAGGTTATGCCTGTGTCTCGAGAACAGAGACAACCTGTTAATGGATGAGGAATTGATTTGGTGGTGACTGTTCTTTCTAACTTAGAGGCTGTTTCAGATGAAAAGCACCAGGCTTGCTCCCCAAAGATACCAGCAGGAATGGAGAATGTGAGAGCAAAGTGAGCAGCAGCTCAAATCTGGAGGAGATGATGGTACAGGGGATTCGGGGGCGCTCTTAAACCTCTGTCTCATGTACTAATTTGTATTCAGTCCACTCTGCTTTGACATCAAGATCTTTGCCCTGGCCACACAGGTACCAGGTTCTTAAGGGACTCCTGGCCCGGTAGCGGGAACATAGGTTCTATCTCCAAGCACCATGATTTACTCCTTGACAGTGACCCTTGGCAATTTCAGTGGACTTTGAAAAGCCTATCTCCCCTGGCCCCAGGTAAGAGCTTTGGAAAATTTGAAGGGAGGGTCCTGGAAGGGAGAGTCTACCCTGAGTTGTTCAGGTAGAAGATTCAGCTCTCAACAGCTTGAGGGCTGACTATCTGGTTAGTGGATTATCCAGATTCTTTACTTCCTCTTGACACTTCCATGGTCTATTTTACTATATATCGACCCTCCCTACAGGTGCTAGAGGGGGAAAGACCAGGATGCTGTAACTGGAAATACAACAACACACTTTGGGCAAGAAGAAGATGGAATCTGGGGCAGGATCCACGGATTCAAATGCCCATGCTATCCCCATCCCCCTGGGCCAAGGGCCTGCTTCACTGGGTCACAAATGCCCTTCCACCAATACAGATGAGTGTCGGCTCCTGGCAAGGAAAAATACCCTCCCCTAACCATGAACTTTCTCTCTTGGATCTCCTTGGACTCTGGCCTGGCATGAGCTAAGTGTCTAGGCAGATTTCTTTAACTCACCAGGCCTCCCCTCTGTGGGAGGGGAAAGGGAATTTGAGTTTTGGCAAAGAGACAAAGATTTTGTGATCAAAACCAAGAAGTTCCTTGTGTAAAAAAGGAAAGTCTATATATGGGCAACAACTGAATAGAGCAAAAAGTAAGCAGTTATCCTATTAAGGTGGAGTGGTGAGTGGACGGTAGCCCTCCTTTCTTGCTGGTTTTCCTAGTGTGGGCACCCACCATGTTTGCTGAGGTTTGGGAAAGTGTAAAAGACTCGGTGGGAGGGCAGGGGTGGGTTTGGGAGGGTCTTGGAACTCAAGCAGGTCTTGAAGGTTTTGAAGGTTTGGGGAGTGCAATTTAGGGAGGCTCTAAAAAGCCCCTCTACCTCCTTGGCCTTCACTAAACATTCCCACCATTCCCTATCTTCAACCTGGGTGTTTCCCAAAGGCCTTGTTAAAATGTAAATGTCCGATAAATACAGTAAATGTCATTATTGCCCATTATCACATTAGCCCCAATTAGTCTATGAGTTCCAGATCTGAGAGCAGGGCCCTGAGGGAACAGACTGGTGATGTTTTGCTTAAAAGATGAATCAGGAGCCACCTGAACTACCAACCCCACCCACTGCAGGGGGTGTGTGCGCGCGCACAGGAGTCTGTGTGTTTATGCGGGCGTCTGTGTGTGTGTGTGTGTGTGTGTGTGTGTGTGTGTGTTGGGAGGAGGGGCATCCAGGTGTTTTGAGTGCCAGTGTAACTCCAGGAAGCAAACTTGGCCTTCTTTACAATTTTGCCTGAGATTAACCTGAAACAGGGACTTCCCTTGTGGTTCAGCAGTTAAGACTCCAGGCTCCCAATGCAGGGGACCTGGGTTCGATCCTTGGTCAGGGAACTAGATCCCACATGCATGCCGCAGCTAAGAGTCTGCATGCCACAACTAAAGACCCTGCACAACACACGAAGACCCCACGTGCCACAACTAAAAGATTCCTGCATGCCGCAACATAGATCCTGCAACTAAGACCTGATACAGCCAAATAAATAAATAAATAAATATTTTTAAAAAAACAAACAAAAAACCTGAGACAGCAGTGGGGTAGGTGGGAGGTAGGGGGTGTGTGGTCAAGAGGTGGTAAACCTCAAAAGCAACTCCAAAAGTGGTGTGACTCTCCAGTTCGGTCCCAACCACCTTTGATTGCAGGCTTTTTCATTTCTAGGTGAAGAGTTTCAGTTACATGTCTATTTCTTCATCCACTCTTACCCTGCCCATTTTCCATCAGAGGACTGCTCCATTAAGGCACTCCTGAGAAGAGTGTTTTGAGGATGGTAGTGGTGAAAGAGGATGAAAAGACGTCACCTCATACTCACAAGCCACTTTAGTTGTGGAGTCTTTATGTATATACACAAAGTACCTACTAACGTGTCTAGTCCTTAGTGGGTTCTTATCAAGTATTGGTTATTTTCTCTACTTGGGACTTAGTTGAACCTCCCAGAAGAAAAACAAAAACAAAAACATCTTCCTCCCCCATCCAAAAATTAAAAAAAGGCTAGATTTTTAGGCATGTTACACCCATAGAGAAATTTCTTCAGAGTATGAGTCAGAGTATGAGGTCTCTTACTGTATAATTAACTTCAACAAGACAGCACTTACATCAAATTAGATAGATGGATGGTTAGATAGACAGACAGATAGATGGATCAATGGATTTCACATCCATAGAGAAATTCCTTCAAAGTATGAGGTCTTTTACTCTATGGTAAAAGAGACAGCACTTACATCAAATTAGATTGATGGATAGATAGACAGATAGATAGATAGATAGATAGATACATGATGGAATGGATGGAAGTCCTGATTTATAACTGAAAATGCTAAAAGTTGGATTTGATGCTGAAGCCTTCAACTGCAAGAGCCTCAAATATATCAAGCATGTCTCTCATGGATAAGTTGAAAAGTGTAACCACAAAACCATCAAACACACCAGAGCCTTTATATAAACACATTGTTAGTTTCTTGAAAGTCATAACTTTCTCAAGGAGGAATCAGGCAAGAGCCTCGTTATCATGTCAGAGCTGCAGCCCCATCATAGATTCTGTTTGTTCTGTGCTCCGAGGATCTCCTGTAGACTGATAAAGACAAAGGGAAGCAACAGAGTGATGAGACAAAGCTGACTGCCTGGGTTTTAAGGATGGGAGGACTTAAGAGAGGCAAAGCAGCTTGCCCTCAGGTCAAGATTAAGATAATACTGAGATAAATGGAACCAACTCTGCAAACCCAGTTACTCTGCCTAGAAACTTTCCTGATTTCAAGGCCCTATCACTGTCTCAGACCTGTGCAAAGACACAGAGGCTTTGAGTCAAGCTGCGTTGCTGGTTCACACAGAGGAAAGGGGGCAGAGCAAACCAGGCCAGGGTATGGGCAGTGGCCTGGGGACCCTGAGTTCAGTTGAATTGTCTGCTAGGAGATCCACATTCCTACGTCAAAGACAAGACAAAGAATCTCTCTGAGCCAAGTATCAAGCCCTAAGGGGTCGAGTCTTAATACCAACACAGGCTGTGGTTACAAGGTTAACGAGAGTGGTGCGCTTGCTTTGCAAAAAGAGGATGCTGGCTTACTTTACCCAGCACCTTTTAACTAGAGGCCCTATATTTATTTTTGAAAGCAAGAGTGTGTTTATATCTGTTTCTGTCTATCATCCGCTCTTGATGACATGGACTTACCTCCGGGGCAGAATGTAACAACTATTTAGTGGGAGACACACAAGAATATTACTCTAGAACTAACAGGAACAAGAAACTCTGGTGGGGGGAGGGGAGTGACATAGAGCATTAGCATCAGTTACCTTGGCTAGAGTCAAATAAGGTACCACGATTAATGAATATCATCTTGCCTCACACCCTACTCCCTTCTAAAAGCTACGCTTCCAAAATCTTTACATTTTGGCTTAGATTCGATTCCCAGGGGTCTACAAATCCTCTGAGGAGAAATTTCCTGGGCTCTGAAGGTAGCACCTGAGCTCCATTTGGGAGGTCTGACAGCTGTCCTAACAGATATGCAAGGCACCTTTTGACCATGTCTTTTGCCATCACATCTGTGCCTACACGCTGAGAATATTCTCTGCCCATGGCACGTACCACACACCTGCTGAAGTGGGGACAACCTTGGTGCCGGAGTGGGAAAGGGCGGCTCACCATTTCTGGAAGAAAGTGACCCATCGCATACACACTTGCGTGCACACACACACAGCTGCCCCTCGGGCCCCTGGCTGCGCCACCGAGCTTACCTAGGCACCAACAGTAAATGTTATGAACTCCCCCTTCATGTTTTAATTATTCTCAAGATACCTCCATTCTTGACTTACTTAACTCACCCCTGACCTGTTCCTTCTGCTTCACCTATATCTCATTACTTTCTTTCTGGCCTCATCTCACCTCACAAACAGCTTTACACAGTGCCCTGACTTAATGCCAACTCCACTGTTGGTGTAAGCACTTTGCTTCTTGAATCAAACTGCTCTGAGAGCCTAGACAGCATTTCCATCAGGGTGTTCAGGAAAGTTTATTTCTCCATCTCAGAGCAGGGGGAAAGACGAGGCAAAAGTTGGCCACTTCCAGACCATCTTCTTGCAGCCTATATTTTCTTCTCTTTTGTGTGGGGAAGAGCTTCTTATAGGGGTTGTATTTACGTATTATTTTGACGTTAGAACTTCTTCCACTACCATGGAACCCCCAAATATAAAACAGAATAAAGAGATGCTTCTGCAGATGGATTGGAGGTGAGGCATCTGCAGCCTCCCCTGATCAGTCGCCCTTCCCTTCCCCCACAGGCACTCAGCCTTCTCTGACCCCTGCGTCCTTGCTCTAAGCCAGTGGAGCAACTGTATTGCTTAATACAACTCAGGGGCTC